TTTTTTTTAATCCTGGGACCTTCCCTGGTCCTTACACGACCAGGCCGCCCGGGAAAAAGGGTGACCCGGACGGCCCGGCTGGTAGCCTACCGTCTTCCCCCGAACACAACGCACCCTCATTTTGGCTGTATCTGGCCGGAAATATAACTCTGTACATTCATTTTTAGGGTGCGTTATGTTCGGGGTAAGACGGTAGTGCAATTCTGAATTACTTAGCTATTCAGAGGCCGGTCACTTCTACAGATGATATCTCAAGACCGTCGTCCTCTATATATGGGAGATACGGCAAAATTAATTAATCATAATAATAATAATAATTTTATCTAGGCAACCAGCCAGGAAGCCCGGGTCACTTTGTTTACCCGGGCGGCCCGGCCGTGCAATGACAAAAAAAATCCCGAAAACTGAAAAAAAAAAAAAAAAAAAGTTACCCAGAAAAATGAGCTGAACGACTTTTGCCTCAGCGTCATATCGAAATTCCTTACCGAAATTAAAAAAAAAAAAAGTGTTTTTCTTTTCTTTTGGCCCGGCCTTGCAAGTAGTCCCGGGCCACTCCGGTAGCCCAGAATTTTACACTTTTTTTTTTTTTTTTTGACTATTATTATTATGAGTAATAGTCGTCGTAGTGGTAGTAGGAGATAAGGCAGCTTGTCGTCTTGTTATGTATATAGATCTATAAGCGAGGTGCTGGCTCGGTCTATTTTTTTTTTTTTTTTTTTCCGTGTGGCCCGATAGACCACAGATCAGATATTGAACTGATCAGAACAGATACAGTGCACTTGATTTTAGCCAAAAGGCCGAGAAAGGTATATCTAATTATTTTTACTCAGCGAGATGGGTGTTCAGCTAGCTAAAAAAAGACATCCCTGTTCGGCTGTATCTGGGGCAACTTTCAATCTAGATACAGCTGATAAAGACAAGCTTATTCGGCTATCTACAGCTACAGCTACAAATACGCAAAACAGTGTTGACGCAAAATAATCATCTGTGGCTGCTACCGTCTTCCCCCGAATAGAGCGCACGGTCATTATCGCTGTACCTAGCCTGCAAGTTGCCCCAAATACATCTAAAACGATCGTGCGTTCTATTCGGGGAATAGTTGTCCATATGCTTAGTTATTCATCTGGCTAGATCGATCATTCCGCCACCGACTCGAGGATGTACCTGGACAAGGAGAAACGACAGGTGAAGATTTCCACTATTTGCAATCAACGGTGCAATCAACAGGAGAGGAACGCGAGACGAGCAGGAGGATAAGGAGGGGGAGGATAAGGAGGGCGAGGAGGAGGAGGAGGAGGAGGACGGGGAGGAGGAGGAAGAGGAGGCATCGTACCAGAGATCACGACAATCTACGAATTAATATTGCAAAATGATTTTGCAGCACAACGACTTTTCCCGTCGCTCATTTTCATAAAAGTGTTAAACATACGGGCTACCAGCCGGGCCGCCCGGGTGGGTGGCCAGCCCGTGCAAAGACCAGGGAAGGTCCCAGCAAAAAAAAAAAAAAACAATTCCAAAAAATACGAAAAAAAAAATTATGTTATGCAGAAAAATAAACTGAACAACTTTTGCCTCAGGGTCACATCGAAATTCTTCACCAAATTTAGATTTTATTTTTATTTTTATTTTTTTTTTTAATTTTTTTCCGACCCGGCCGGGCAAGTGACCCCAGGCCACTCTGGTAGCCTATAAAAGTACAAAATAAAAAATGACATAAAAAGACAAGTATTCCAGGCTATGGAGGATGAAGATGATGGAGGAAGATGGAGGATGAAGACAGGCTTTGTTCGTATGACAGCTTGGAGTGGTCAAAGAGAGCTGATGAGCGATGTCGGACGCAGAGCGAATGAAGGCTGCAGTATGGAGAATCGAGAACGGAGGAGATGGGAGGATGGAGGTGTAAGGAGAAGGAAGGAGGGAGGAGGAGGGAAGGAGGAGGGAGGATATAAGACATGCACGACGAAGAATGGAGGATGGAGAAGGGAGAAAGAAGATAAGAGGACGGAGAAGCGCAGGATAAACGACGGACGATGATGGAAAGAATGGAGGATGGGGAAAAAATATAGGTTGTGGGGGAGGCAGGCAGGATGGATGGAGAAGGGAGCACGGAGTGCAGACGGAGAATGGAGGAAAGAGGACGACGAAGAAGGATGGAGATGGAGGATGGAGGATGGAGGATGGAGGATGGAGGATGGACATGCAGGAGGATAGAGAATAGAGGAGAATGGAGGAAGGATGGAGATAGAGGATGGAGGATGGACATGCAGGGTAAAGAATAGAGGAGAGTGGAGGATGTAGAACGAAGGATGGAGAATGGAAAAGGATGGAACGGAGGATGAAGGATATGAACGATGCAGGATGGAAAATGGAGACGGGACGAGGATGGAGGCGTATAGAGCATATAGAAGGATGGAAGAAGAAGGAGGATGGAAGATGAAGAAGGATGGAAGATGAGGAACGATGGAAGATCAAGAAGGATGGACAATGGGAAATGATGGAAGATGGAGAGATGGAGGAAATGGAGAGATGGAGTAGATGGAGAGATGGAGATGGAGGAAGATGGAGAATGGAGGATGGAGAATGGAGAATGGAGGATGGAGAGATGGAACGTATAAAAGATGAAGGATGGAGGGTATAAAAGATGAAGGATGGAAGATGAAGAAGGATGGAAGATGAAGGAATGATGGAAGATGAAAGATGGAGATGGAAGATGAAGGATGGAAGATGGGGAACGATGGAAGATGGAAGAAGATGGGGAAACGAGATGGAGAATGGAGGATGGAGAGATGGAAGATGGAGAGATGGAGTGTATAAAAAATGAAGGATGAAGGGATGGAGAAATGGAGGGAGATGGGAATACGAGATGTGAATGGAGGATGGAAGGTATAAAAGAAGAAGGATGGAGGGTATAAAAGATGAAGGGTGGAGGATGGAAAAAGGAAGACGGAGGATGGAAGAGAAAAGATGAGGAAGAGAGAAGACACATGAAGAGGTAGCATAGCAGCAACCAAGAAGAAAAGAGGAGAATGACTCAAAAACTCACGGGAGAACTAAGACTGTGAAAACGAGAGAGAGAGAGAGACGGGAGAGCGAGGGGAGAGAGAGGAGAGAGAGAAATTCGGCCTTCACTAAACGTTGACATAAGACGAACCATGGACAAAAATGATCGTTACCACCACACCATATCCCTCTTCTTCTTCTTCTTCTTCTTCTTCTTCTTTCTTCTTCTTCTTCTTTCTTCTTCTTTCTTCTTCTTCTTCTCTCTTCCTTCTCATCTTTTCATGAAGGTCCATCCTCATCATCATCATCATCATCATCATCATCATCATCTCATCATCATCACCCTGACATCAATGCAATCAACCCTCAATATCATCCTAATAGCAATAGAAAAAGAAGAAAAAAAATAATATATATATATCGTCAATTGAATAGCTTAATATCAACGACCCACAGAGAAAATATAATGAACCACTGAACCTTATCTCACAATACAGGAGATTCAATGAACGGAGACTCTCATCATCACCTTCCTCTTCATCAATCAATCAGTCGACCACGTACGTCGTATAGTCCTCTATGGACATTCGATAAAATTGGGGAAAGATACAGAGATTAGCACCGCCCCTGCGTAAGGGCGACAAACATTATAAAAGAAGAAATGGTCCAAATTAAAAACAAGAAAAAGAGGGGTGCGGGGCGGAGGGGAGGGGGAACAGGGGAGGGGGAACAGGAGAGGGGGAACAGAGGGGAGGAGATTGCGGAAAAAAAGGCCGAGGGAGGAGCGAACAGGGGGTTGGGGGAGAGGGCGGGGGTAAAAGGAAGGTAAAAGGGGGAGGACGGGGATACTTGGGCGGGGGAGGGGGAACAGGGGAGGGGGAACATTGCGGAAAGAAAGGCTGAGGGAGGGAGAGGACGGGTAGAGGAGAGATTAGGGGGAAAAAAGGCGAACAGGAGGTTGGGGGAGAGCGGCGAGAGGGAAAAAAAGGCAGGAAGCAGGGATAGGACGGGTTGAGGAGAGATTAGGAGAGGAGAGAAGAGCGGAAAGGGCAGCAGAGACGGGAAGGATACGGAATGCAAGGATGGAGGAGGAAGGAGGGAGGGAGAGGGAGG